TATTGTCATCATTGAGATGACAATGTGTAAAAAGTAAACAGCACCTTCTCTCTGATGCCAGATTACTCCAGGGTGACCCATGACTTGTTCTGTGAACATCTCTGTAGTACCAGCTCAGGAAACCACTTCCCAACCCATGTGTCATCCTCTAGCCACATTATCATACAAAATTTTTTTCTCATAAGCTTTTATTGACTCTCTCCTAGAAGTTTCTTAGACTTCAAAAATGTTCAGGTCACACTCCTCATGCAAACTTCCTTAAATGTGAAAGAAAGCAGGCTACCACCTCTATAATTCTCTGGTGAAAATTAAACTTTACTGTAATCAAAGACGTTTACCTCTCATTAAGTCATTTATAGGGAAAGAAAGATGAAACAACTCAATATTCATAATGTTCCATTTTGAGAAGTTTCATCTAAATAATTTCTCAATCCTGCAAGACTTTACTTTCTTGGCCTATGAACTGAATATCAACATGAAGTAAAATCTCTAGAGAGAAGTGGTTATGGTTTTGATAAAGGACAAGGACTGTAGACATAGAAGGAAACCACTCTATATGTTAAATGTCATGCTTGAAAGCCTACAGCTAGCACAATACTGTCAGGAGAAACACCAAAAATGTTACTAAAATCATGAACCACATAAAAAAATGCTTCTCTGACCACTTATTCAGCATTACTGGAAGTTTGGCTGAAATAATTAGCCAGAAAGATAAAATAAAGGTATCAAAATGGGAAAGCAAAAAAGAAAATAATTTTTAATAGACAACATAATGTTACATATAGAAAATACTAAATATTTAATTCCCCCCTCAAAAAAATGTTAAAACTAATAAATTCAGTGCAGTTGCAGTAGACAAACAGCGTCATTTCATTTCTTTGCATCAACAATAAATATTAAAAAGTTGAATTAAGAAAATAGTTCCATTTACAATACCATTAGAAAGACTAGAATACTTTGAAATAAGCTTAACCAAAGAGTTGGGAGATATACACACTGGAAACTACCAAAGATTTCTCAAAGAATGGAGTACTACACAGCAGAAAGGAGGAGCCCCTACCCTTCATGACAGCATGGATGGAACTGGAGAGCATTATACTAAGTGAAATAAGCTGGGTCATGAAAGACAAATACCATATGATGTCACCCAAAAGTGGAAGTTAATCAACAAAACAAACAAGCCAACAAAATACAACCAGATGCACTGAAATAAAGAGCAAACTTACAGAAACCAGAGGGCAATGGTGAGTGGGATAATGGTGGAAAAATAGGGGTCATTAAGGAACATGTATGAAGTACACATGGACAAAGACCAAGAACTGTAAGATTGAGGGTGGAAGAGGAAATATGTGTGGGCTGGGTGGAGTGGTGGCAGGAAAATGGATACAACAGTTCTTGAACAATAATAAAAACAAGATGAACGTTACTGTTTAAACACAAACATGTCACTGATTAAAATATTTTTAAACAAACTGAGCCTTCAATTAAAAAAATAAAAGTAAAACTTTTCTTAAAATCTTCACAGTAGGTCTTTTTACATCATGGATGTACAGGTCCTCACCCAAGTTATGCTTGTACATCCCACAGAAATTGAGACACAGGGACACTGGAATGACTACATTTTAAGGATGGGAACAGATCCTTTTATAGATACTCTCTGAATCATAACAGTAGCAAGATAATTTTAAGGAGACTCATGTGTATTCCAAGTGGCAAGAAAATATGTAATTTCAAAATGCAATTACATTTCTAAAGAGAATTCTCTAAAATATGGAGGCCAGAGGCCTGCAATCAGGAGGAACCTGTCTGAAGGTTAACAACTCTGAGGGAAAATGAAGGCCTCTGCATCATAACCAAACTGCTTTCTGCCCAGTGGAGGAAAACAAACTACATCTCTTGCAGCCAAGACATAATTTTCATCTGCATGAGTTCCTGCAATTTGTAAAGAGGTGCAAGATAACTGGGACTCCCTGACCACAGCCAGAACCTGATCTCCCAGAAGGCTGTGCTTCTGGAGATTTCCATTCAGACATTATGTTTATCTCTATAGTCACTTTCCCATTCATCAAAATTAATCACTAAGAGAGAAGTGTATCCTTGACCCTACAACATGGCTGATGTCACCTAATTCAGCCTGATGAGCTAGTTACCTAAGTGCAGAGGAATTGACATTCACTACATAGTTTGCTCTGATGAGAGTTTTCCATGGAAAATATGATGGGAGTTTTACCAGTCTCTTGATGTTAGGAAGCTTTACTCAAACACTTCACTCCAGTTTCACTCGCTTTGGGTGATGTCTTTTCTGCAAGAGGTACCAAAAGTCTGAAGATGTCAAGCTTAGCTCTATAAAGTATGAGGTCATTTCAAATTCCATGCACATCAGTCTGAACTAGAACAACTGAATGAAAGTTTCCAATTATACCTCATTAAGAAAAGAACAGAAATGTACTGAACTTATGCACATAATTTTATTGACCTAGAAGGAAGAATGCTCAAGAGACTTTTGTAGTCTTTTGAAAAACATCAAAGGGATGGCCAGGATGGAGGCATAGGTAGACACACTGTGCCTCCTCGCAGAACCAAATTGCGGACAACAAAAATTTAGATACAAAACAAAACGAAACAAAACAAAACAAAACAAAACTGACAGAAAATTGAACTGTATGGAGGAAGTCTGACATCCAAAGAGTTAGACACATTCATCCAGTCCAGTAAGAGGGGCATTGTTGGGCAGCTGGGTGGAGTTGGGCGCAGGGTGGAGGGGGTAGCAGAAAATTAAAAAAAAACGGTGGTTTTTGGACCTTGAGTCCAAGGTAGTGACTGATGGATCCCGAGCATGCAGGCTGCAGCAAGCAGACCCAGGTGTGGGATGGAAGAGGGCAGACCCAGTGAGGCACACAGAATGGCTTGCTGACAGAGCGGTCCCACATTCATTGCAGACAAACCAGGTGAAGCTGGGGAGCGAGAAATAATGTGCAGCCCAGGGCCTCAGTGTGGGGAAATAAAGCCTCAAAACACCTTTTGAAAACACCTATGGGGGTTGAGGCAGCGGGAGAGATTCCCAGCCTCACAGGAGAGTTCTTCGGAGGGACCCACAGTGTCCTAAAATATACACAAGCCCACCCACCCAGGAATCAGCACCAGAGGGGCCCAATTTGCTTGTGGGAAGCTATGGAAGGGACTGAAATCTGACAGAGAGTGGAGCAAGCACCATTGTTCCCTCTTGGACCACTCCCCAACAGACAGCATCACAACCCAGTCACTGGGCTGGCTCATCCTGGTGAACACCTAAGGCCCCGCCCTTCATACATAACAAGCACAACAAGACAAAAAAATGGCCCAAACAGAAGAACAGATCAAAGCCTCAGAACAAATACTTTTAAGCAATGAATAGATTGCCAACCTATCAGATGCACCATTTAAAGCACTGGTGAACAGGATGCTCACAGAATTGGTTGAATTTGGTTGCAAATTAGATGAAAAAAATGAGGGCTATGCTAAGTGAAATGAAGGAAAACACACAGGGGACCGATAGGGATGGGAAGAAAACTGGGACTCAAATAAATGGAATGAACCAGAAGGAAGAAAGAAACAATCAAACAGAAAATAATGAAAAAACAAGAATTCAAAAAAACTGAGGAGAGGCTTAGGAACTTCTGGGACATCTTTAAACATTCCAGCATCTGAACTATAGGAGTACCAGAAGGGGAAGAGGAAGAGCAAAAGTGGAAAAGTTATTTGAACAAATAATAAAGGAGAACTTCCCCAATCTGGCAAAGGAAATAGACTTCCAGGATGTCCAGGAAGCACAGAGAGTCCTGAAGAAGTTGGACCCAAGGAGGAACACACCAAGGCACATCATAATTACATTACCTGAGATTAAAATGAAGGAGAGAATTCTAGGAGCAGCAAGAGATAAGGGGACAGTCACCTACAAAGGAGTTCCCATTAGATTGTCAGCTGATTTCTCAAAAGTGTCCTTAAAGGCAAGAAGGGCCTGGAAAGAAGTATTCCAAGTCATGAAAGGCAAGGACCTACATCCAAGATTGCTCTATCCAGCAAAGCTTTCATTTAGTATGGAAGGGCAGATAAAGTGCTTCTTTGATGTCAAGTTAAAGGAGTTCATCATCACCAAGCCCTTATTATATGAAATGTTAAAGGGACTTATCTAAGAAAAAGAAGATAAAAAACATGTATAGTAAAATGACCGCAAACTCACAGTTATTAACAACCACACCTAAAGGAAAACCAAAAACAACCTAGGCAATTAACTAAAACAGGAACAGAACCACAGAAATGGAGATCACATGGAGGGTTAGCAACAGGGGAGTGGGAGGAGGAGAGAGGCGGAAAAGGTACAGAGAATAAGTAGCATAGGTGGTAGGTAGAAAATAGACAGGGGGAGGGCAAGAATAGTATGGGAAGTGTAGAAGCTAAAGAACTTATGACACATGGAAATAAACTAAAGGGGGGAATGTGGGTGGGAGAGGGTGTGCAGGGTGGAGGGGAAGGAAGGGGGGAAATGGGACAAGTGTAATAACATAATCAATAAAATAAAATAAAATAAAATAAAAAAGAAAAACTTTGAAGAGAAGCACAAAAATCAGTGTTGCTACTCACATTGTTGTCCTCTTGTCCATTCTCCTTGTCTACAACAGGTGCCCTCCACATGTGTTCTCGGAAAAGACACAGAGCTCAGATTTTCTAAGCTCTTTACCTTTTCTCATTTGTTATCACACAACTACTGCTCATCCTCTGATGGACACAGTGTCACAATGACCCCTCCACTGTGGACGTGGTACACATGAAACCAAATCATGATGGGGATTGGTCTGAAATGTGACCTTTACTCAACAACAATGACAATGTTGGCTCATTTTTTTCTAGTGCTTATTGACTCTGCAACTCTTTAAGAACTGTTTACCCTTAGAATGAGTCAAGTATAATATTGCACAAAACTACTTTATTTAGATTTTAACAGCATAGGGGGTAAAGGAGAATCACTGAAGTTTCACATCCAGCACAAAGGTTGCACATTTAGCAGAATTCAAGGGAATGAAGGCTTTACACTCATAATCACCAAAATCCTCCCTCTGGACAGGGTATATGGTGAGGTTTCTGCGGTCACGTGACAGCCACATTCTCTCCTTGAGCATCAGACTTCTGCCTTTGAAAAACCAATGGATGGCATCAGCATTTGTGTGGCAGGTCATGACCACAGCATCCTTATTCTCTGTGACTATGGTGTTGCTGGCTAGGAGGGTGGGTGCTCTCAGAAGCGCTGTGGAGAAACAGAAAAAGGGACTCATTGAGAATGGGCTTCAGACATGCAGCCACCTGGCTTCCTCAGAGATCTCAGCCACTCACAGCCCACAGTGACTTATGTAAAGGTCACCAGAGGGTGGTCCAGGCATTTGGAAGACAATTGTCTAAGTCCAGGTGAAAATATTAAGGAAAGAGCTGCAACTCCTCTCTGTCCCCATATAACCTCAGGCAAAATATATCCAGAGACACTGAAATAAATAACAAACTGACAGTAACCATAGGGGAGAGAGGAGGGGAATAACAGGGGAAAAAAGGGGGAAAGGGTCATCAAGGAACATGTATAAAGGACCCATGGAAAAAGCCAAAGGGGGGAAGGATTGTGGGTTGGAGGTGGGGGTGGGGGTGATGGGGGAAAGTGGTGGCAGGAAAATAGAGACAGAGGTACTTGAACAACAACAACAAAATAATTAATTAAATTTAAAAAGAGAAAGGGCCAGACTTCAATGGAGGAAATACAGCCTTTTCAATGAATGCTGTTGAACAGCAATATCCACATGAAAATTAATGATGTGGATCCCTGTCTGATACTACACAAAATTTAGTCAAAATTGTGTCAAAATTAATTTCAAATGAATATGTGAACTAACCACCATTAAGTCAAATTATATCAAATTCTAAAGGTTAGACCTAACACTTTAAAATGCTTATAGAAATTATCAAGAGAAGCATTCTGCCATTGAATTTGGCAATGATTTTATGAACATGACACTAAGAAGACAGGCAAAAAAATAGACAATTTGGATATTCTCAAAATGAAAAGTTCTCCTCATCAAAAAAGGCATAACATGTTGAAAGGTTACCCATGAAATGTGAGAAAATATTTTGCATATCATACAAAAAATAAAAGGTTAATATCTAGAATATACAAAAAAACATCTACTACTCAACCACCAGAAAACCATATTTCTGATTTAAAAATGGAATGAAACATTGGAATAGGTATTTCTCCAGGGAATGTATACAAATAGCATATAGTTAGAGAAAAAGATGCTCACACCACTATTATGTACAAAAATGAAAATCAAAACTCTCAAGATTGAGTTTGTTGCTTGTGATCCTGGTTGTGGTTACCTCTGCTCTGCAAAAGAAAAAAAAATGCCTTGTGTGGTACCTTTGATATCTCCAAAAGCTTCTTCAAGCACAGTTGGTACCTCTCACCTCTTAGTCAACGTGAGTCTTAGAACTAACAAGGCAGGTCAGCATATCACAAGAACATGTTTGGGAATCAGAACACTCGGAGGATGCATGTCCTCCAGCTATATGTCTGGGGGAAACTGCAGACTTTCTCAGGTGTCAGTTAAGTATCAATGTTGGTTAAAAAAAGACATAAGACAAGAATTCAGAGAGACCAATTCCCCTGGTTCTTCACTGACCACCTGCCTGCCTGCCTGACCAGAAGCCATTCCCTCTTGCTACACAGACATTTATTGCCCATCTGAAGTGTGTTTCTATGAGGCACTATTTCCCAGAATATCCTAGAGGCTGGGTGAGGTTTGAGCAGAAATAACACATAGAGAACAGAAGCAAGCCAGTGACAAGCTGACTGACTTCTCAGGCCCTGGGCTAAGTGGTAGATCAGGTCTTCTGAGGTGAATGTGACTGAAATGAGCCAGTGAGCCAATGCATGATAGAGCAGGGCCCAAGAAATGATTTAGCAAAAAGACAAAGAGACAGGCAGAAGCTGATAATGGCAGCACAATCATGTGCTCTTCCCTTTACCATGAAAGCCATTCTCTCTCCCCTGAGGGTAGCTGAGGACTTGTGAAAATGCAAAATCAGTGTCTTAGAGCAAGTGGGCAGCATGGACTTGCTGAAATTCTGGCACTTGTGGGAAATTTGTGTTAAATGGCTATGAAACAGAAATTGGAAAAAATCTTAAAATTCTTCTGTATGTGAAAATTATTATTAATACCCTAGTGCCTAAGACCAATAGCAAGTCCTATTTTATTAAAGAAAAGAAAAGGATCTGAGATGATGGTCTTAGTTCCTGGGACGAGGAAAGACTGTTCCCTATGGTGAGGATTCCAAGGAATCTGCATCCAGGTTCCAGGCTCTGAAGAGATTTTGGATTATTCATTCATTCATTCATTCATTCAGTCAGTCACCATTTATTTCTTCCTAATTCATCAAAAGGAGCTGAGTGCTTGTTAAATATTCATCCTGAGCTGGTTTCAGGGGTATAGTGGAGAATAAGAAAGAAAAGTCCTTTGCTTTACATCTGCTGGGAGAGACGGCACCAAAACAGGAAACAAATAAGTGACGTCAAGTCCAGTGCAGGGAGGCGTGGATGGACCACCTGAGGGGGATGCCTGGGTAATCTATGCAGGGACTCTGATTGTTACTGAAGACAATGTTTTTCTAGAGTAAAAATAGATTGACTCCATTTTTTTCTCCTCACAGACCAAAGTGTATTCCTGTGACTGAAGATACCTAAGAGAAAAGGATCTGAACTACTTAGTTTGTTTAGGAATCTGAAGACTCCCTCATAAGTCCCCAGAGGTAGAGAAATTAAGTCTGTGGCTACAAACAGAACTCTAGTGACCCTGATCACCTGTTCAGGGTATGTGTGACTCTCCTTTAGTGACTGTATCTCCCTGATTCTTAGTTTCTTCTCAGTGAATATTTGGCTGCCAGGGTGTCAGTGTAATGACTTAAATATTTAGAGGATCTGACCTAAATCGTGAAATAGAAGAGTTGCTCAAAAGAGGAATCCATTATTGGTCAACTACATGAGAGAACCCCTAGTTGATCCCTGATGAATGAGGAGATTTCTGGAGCATGTTTTTTTTCTCAGTTCCTTTCTGGGGATGCTGACCTTTCTCTGAACTTTCCTGAGACCCCCAAGATAGTCAGTTATATACAAGGACATTGTCTAATACTGCTCTTCACACAAAACTCAGGTGATAGACCAAACTCCATTTCTGGCTTTATGTGGGTGTTGGCCATGAGCTCTGACTGGTGACTGCCTCAGCAGCCTTGTGACTTGGGCACCCATTAAACTATTACACACTCAGTCCTTCTAAGGAGGCCAAACCCAACCTAGCACAGACTCATCAGGGTCCTTGGAGTAAAGATCCCTGATACAGGGTTCTTGGGAGGGGTTTCTGAGATGAGCTGTATAAGAATTTCAGGGGGCCTCTCAGACTGTGCTCTGACATAGTACAACAGAGTCATTTTCAAGGTCAAGTGAATAGGCAGGTGTTCAGGAAGCTGAAATTAGTCTGCTCTCCCTCTGTTGAATTACTCCCATCAAACTGATCCTTCTGTCTGCACTGACTGTCTGCAAGGCTGAAACTGGAGAAGGGAACTGAGCTCTTAGGAAGTTTGTCTGCATTCTCTGTGTATCCTGCATGAAGCACCAAAATCCACCCTGAATCCAAATGCCAAGGGGAATGGAGGTAGTACCTAGGGTATAACAGTCCTGTGTGTGAAGTTGAATTCACCCCACCTGACACTCAGAGGTCGGAGAGCAATTACTCACGGTATACAGTGAGCCTTCCACATGCAATCATTCTTTTGCAGTTTTGTAGTTGGACCAATACGGTGTAGATTCCTGAGTCTTTCGTGGTGACATTCTTTAACAGCAAGGACCCATCATCCTCTACTCTGGCTGGTCCACCTGGAGGACCTCTTATATGGATTCTTGGGTTTAGTAAAAGGTATGCAATATTATGATTGCTGTCAGAGGCATCTTCCCTGTACCACAGGAAGCCTGCTGTATTGGGAGCCTTATGGTAGATATGTAGAGTCACATCTGTCCCTTCGAGAGCATTGATCGACTCAACTGTCACTTGGGCTGTGGTGGGCTGGCTCCAGAAGTTTAAGAATGAAACTAGGAAATAAGAAAAAAATGCATGATTATTGGTATCTACAGTTTGCGATGGAAAGGTGAGGCCCTGAATCCTGAGAAGCTCACTTTATGTGTCAGCCTTGGTCTACAGGTGAGTATGTCTCTATCAGGTCAAGGTCAGAGACATCACCCCCTTTACTTCAGCACCTCTGAAACTTTCATTTTTTTGGTTTCAAAAACTCCAGCTGTTTGTCTTGCTCACCCTTTCACTGTGTTCAGATGCCACCTGGTACTCAGGGGAATTTTTGAAAGGCACCTTTGCTGACCACCTTATTTAAAGATTCTCTGCTTTCACTTTCTGACCTGCCCCTACTCTCTTTTTTCATGGCTATTATGGGTACCTGATATCACATTTAGATCCTCCCTTGTCTCTCTCTCCTCCATAGAACATGGGCTTGATGATAGCAGGGCTTGTCTGATCTTGTACCGCCAGTGACTGCAACAATGTGGAAATACATGGGGTTGAGTGAATGCATGATCGCAGTGTCCTGTACATCCTGGGATTTATTGGCCCATTTCTGAGATTGGTGATGAAGACATTGTCTAAAATTCCTTGTTATACTTTTCTGGTGCTTCCTGATAAATCAGTATATCAGCATAAAAAAATAACAGGAAACTCACAGCAGTTGAGGGTTTTCTGACTTTCACCACTTCCAGATTATGAGATTTTCCTGTAGCTGAGTCCCCTTTCTCATCCTACTCTGCTCATTTGTTCTTTAGCTTCAGGTCCAATCAGAAGCCTTCCCTGTTTTCTCAGAGTACTGGTGTCTTCAGCAGACCTCAGCCAGTCTCTGTGTCAGATCCTTAGTAAACCCCAAGGAATTGTCTCCTACTTACCCACCATCAGGAGTCCATGCCAGTGGACAAGTCCTCGATGGGTAGATACTGAAGGGGACCCCATGGTGTATGTTGTCTCTTCTATGGCTTCCTCTTTGAGAGAAGCTGAGGTTCTGTAAGGCTCACAGGCACCTCTGTCCACAATGGTGCAGTGTGCTGTGTGTCCTACCTGTGCACTGAGCTTTATTCTGGGGCATGTTTACTATTCTTGTCATGTGGGCTGGGGGCGGGGTCTGTGCACATTACCCTCCCTCTCCCAGCCCTCATTTTTGCCACCCTTGTACCTTGTAACCAGTACTGATCCCCTATACTTTTGTTCCCTGAGAACTTCTAAGGCCTCTCAATACCACACATACACAGATACCCACTCCCATGTTGCATTATGAAAAGCACAAGCCTGGGGTGTCTGGGTTTCAGGCATTTCCCACAGCTCCCTGTCAGGTTTACAGTAGCCTCCCCATCAGCCCTCTCTCTTTCACATTTGACTTTTGCCTTCAGAGGAGGAGTTCTAGAGCTAACTCTGAAAAAGTTGTCAAATGATGTCATCCCTCCTGTGCATCAGATCCCCTGTGAATCTTTTTCAACATCTCTATTTACAGGTGAAATCTTAAAAATGCAGCTTCAGCAGTTGTCCAGGTAATGTGGGGGCCCATTCAAATTGTGACCACTTAATATGAAGGTAGAACCACCTGTAGTGCTCTTCTGTGCACAGGGGAAGTCTCCAGATCCTGTTATACTACAGAACCTGGGGTGTAGTGGGTCAGAGACACTGCATCTGACAAGCTGTCGGGAGAGGTTGATCCAGCTGACCTGTAGGTTACACTTGCAATAGCAAGGCTGATGGGGGCACATGGGTCCCTGAGAGGATGACACACTAAGGCCAACATTGGCCACTGCTGAGACTTGGTCTTGGGACTGTCAGCACGACTCAGGCCACAGGTGTCCTAAAAAGCTGGATCATTTCTGTTTGTGACACAGACACTCTGTTGGGTACTGGGTCCTCTCCCTGTTCTCAATGCTCTGAGGATCTTTTTCCTCTTAGCATGAAGGTCACAGACATGACTCTGGGTGTGAGCAGGTGTTAAGCATGGTGATAATTGTAGAGGGGACTCTTGTTTTATTTCAAGTTTTCACCAGACTGGCTTTTGCTTCCTGGGACAAACACACAAAATCAGGAGTCTCCATAGGACCTGCAGTTTTTGGGTGTGAAGTGGGTCGTGTCCTTCATGTCCAAGGCAGAAAAGACTGTGGGGAAAGGTGGGTGCTTACAGGCTTTCTGTTTTTCAAGGGACAGCTTTATGTAGACCACCCATCTCCATGTCTGTTTGTTGGATTTGTCCTTGTGATGCCTGTCTGTTGGGAGAACCTCTAATTTCTACTTGGGTGTCTTTCTTGTGGTCACCTCACCTTGCTATGGATAATGTCATTCATGAGGTACAGAGCAGCACAGAACCCCATGAGGGAGGAGGTGTTCCAAGGACTTGTCAAAGTAAAAAAATATGTTCAAACCTATGGATCAATTTAATGAGTTTATCTAAGCCAAACTGACCACATATGTCTGGGAGTGAGGTCTCAAATCCTGTGCAGGCAGTTTTGTAGCTTATTTTATACATTATAATCAAAGTAGAAGGTGAACAAGGATGCCTAAAACCTATTAGGAGGTGAGAGAAAACATAACAGGAAAATCTCTAGAACTGATTAAAAGGCAAAATGGAGAAATACGTATTATATATATATAATATATATTATATTATATATATATAATGTTGGTGGGTACAGGCTAATTCACATTTATGGGACACAGAGAAGGTGTGCAGGGGAACGGATAACATAAAGAGTCTGTGGTCTCATAGACTTGTCCTAGACTCTGTGCTTTTGAATGGTGCAGCAAAGAAAAACCCTCTGATGGGTCAAAGTTATGCTATCCAAGAGGAGAAAAACAAGACATCTGGGCTGACAGAAGGTAAAGACTGACCTTTACTAATGAAAATGGAGGCCTGGGATGTCACAACCTGGCATCACTTTCCCAGTTACAAATTTCTGATTAGAATATCCTGTGAGGCTTGTCAGGCCTGCATGTGGCCCCTGTGCTTGCCAGTGTTGCTGCACAGCTCCTTTCTGTTAACAGTATCTAGAGGTAGCAGGTGGGACAAATCAAGCAGGAGGGAGGGCCCAAAAAAGCCTGTTGAAGAAGGGGATGAAAATCAGGTTACTTCTGCATCTTCTTAGCCAAATCAGATTCAGGTGTCTACTTCATGTGTATCTCAATGTTGCTCTCAAGAAGAGAGAGGTAGACTTGCAGAAAAAGACAGGTGCTACACAGGGATGTTGACAAGAGTAGGGTGAGCTCAGTGAAGAGGCAGGCATTGTCCCAAATATTATGTGTTCAGTGTCAGGAGAACTTTCCCACCAGGGGAATGCACTGTTTTAGACTGAGCTCTCTGCTTTCAAGTGTTCAAAGGAAGGGTCTGGTGAAAATTCTTCTGAGGCTTCTGGAGGAGGGTGCTGGCCTGGAAGGCTGATCCCCAAAATGCCCTGTGTGTCCACCATCACTACATTGGGATGTTGCATGTAAGTCATATCTGTGTCCCTGTCTGTCCACAGGGCCGACAAGCAGGAGCATCTCCAGGTTAATGAATACTCAACCAGGGGCTCTGAGTGTCCTGTTAAGGGAGGAAAGTTTCTTTTAGAAATCTTATTCCCCCAGATGGAAGCAACCACACATTCTGGATTCTCCTGTTCCTTTCAGCACAAGAAGTTTCTCTTATTCACCAGGACATCATGACCTAGACAGATGACTCCAGAAACAACAGGCAGGTGTCTCAAATACTGTGAACTGTGTGAATGAAAAGTCAGTCCTTATTGTTATCAGGTCAGGGTGTGTTCTCTCCTCCCCTGGCAGTAACTGTTCCAGGGGTTGAGGATCCAGACTTTCTGTCCAGTCATGGATCTGTGAGAACATAAAAAATACAGGTCTGTGGTGATGAGACATAACTCACAAGGTGGGACTACGTAGGAATGTGATTTTGGGGGGAATAAAGAGCAGTCAGACCCCTTACTGTTACAAGATTCCTTTCCTTCCTCATGGCTGTATGAGACAGAAACTCAGTCTATGGTGTCCCCAAGCATGTGGAGGCCTCTTCTCATGCTGACACCAATGCTTGTGTGTCTATAAGAAACATCATTTGACTGTAAGTGTCACCCAGGATGACAGTCTTCCATTGTGTGATTAACTTTATTGATTTAATGTGTGTTTATGGAACATCTGTGACATGTCAGGCTCTTGGCTGGGTCCTGGATGCTCCAAAGAGAATAAGACATAGGTGGGCTCTGTGCTTATTGTGTTTCTTTTAACAGAGACAGGGTCTCAGATAAATCATGGCTCTAGGGAGTGACTTATAATCTAGAGAATGGCTATGAAGGAGAATTTCAGGTGCATACACAGCATGTACTTGAGTCTCAGCTGGTCTGGAAGTCACAGAGAGCACTTCTGAAAAAGTGATTTCTTGTCTGCAACCTGTACAGTTAGTGGCCATTTTCCCCTTGATGAATAGAAGGCATCACAGTTTTTATCATAAATATATAATTTTCAGCTGACATTGGCTTCTTCACTGAATACAATTATTTTGATATAGCTCAATATTTTTATATTCTAGTTATATTTCATTCCAGGGTAGCATTGATTTTACTTAGTGATTCACCATTTTATGGACATTTGTGTTGTTTCCACTTCCGGGCTATTATAAGTAAACCAGCCATGAAGATGTGTGCAGAAAACTCTATAATGCAAACAATTAGTAATTGTAAAACCAATGAATAGGTAGAGGCATGGGAGTTAGAGAGTTTACCCTGGATGTGTGGTTTCAAGGTCCCATGGCCATAGCCCCACCCAGAGGTATAGAAACACCTGCTTCTTCACATGAAGCTGTGTCTGCTACAGCCCACCTTTCAGTCAACACAGTAGCAGAAATAATGACCCCATCTCAATTCTAGCTTATAAACTATGAACCAGTGCACCTCAGAGACTGCATTTAATCACACGTGAGTTCTCATTCACTAGGAATAGGGGAAAGGTAGTGTTTAACTTTTCAATCCCTCTGAAATAAGAGGAAACCTAAGAGAAAGGAAGGATATATGCCAGGTACCCACAGACCACACACGGCATGTCTGAGTCCAGTTGCAGGCTGTGTGACTCCGGGTGAGTGACCCCACCTCAGTAAGCATCAGTTCCCTCATGTGATGTCATAAAAATTTGTTTGGACTTCTTTCTTGGATTTTAGACAAGGACATCTAAAACTCCTGGAATTTTCTAAGTGATGTGGGTGCTAAGAGTACCTTCTGTTGTGATGAGGCAACTCTTGGCAGGCCTCTGGATAGTTGCAGAGTGAGGGCACATCACCAGAAAGACCAAGTTGTGATCAGAAGATTAGAATTTTCAGCTGTCAATGTAAGAAATACTTCAACCTGAAGAGAATTTTTATGAGCTTACTCAAGCCAAAGAGCATAATTGCAGGAAGCAAAATCACAATGGATTGAGAAAATGTTCTGAAAAATGGTGATTTTCCACCTTATTTTATACAGTACATTCAAAGGGAGAAGTCCACATGGTTGTATTAAATCCACTGGAAAAGATTAGGGAGGTGGGAGAAAGCAAAGTGCTCAAATCTCTGAGACTGGGTAAAAAGTAAAACAAATACACACATAGAATTGTTAGGTTGGTTGGTACAGAATCATTAGTGGTTAATAATGAACACAACAACAATTGTGATGTGAAATAATGTTGTCTCTGCTATGGTGAAAGCAGAACCAGGAATAAAGATTACTCTCATAATTTAAAGGTATGTTATGTTAGAGGCAAAAGGACAATAACACACAATAACACACTCAGTTAAGGTAAAGACAGAGCTTTGTCAGGAAAGATACCAGCCTAGGCTATGACTATCCACCATGAGTCACTTTGGGTTAAAAGTTTTAATTTTATACTATTCTCTGTGGTCACCTCAGGTCTCTGAGTTTGTAAGGCCCACCATGCAGGCCTCCACTGAGCTTGTCAGGTTTAGTATG